CCCAGCGACGACCACCCACTTCCAGTAAAGGCACTGTCCGGCTCGCAAGTAGTGGTAGAAAACGAAACAAACGAACTACTGAGAACTCCAGTTCACCTTTTTGTAAAGTTGCGCCGCATCCTTTTTTTGCTCAACATAAAATATTGCTGTGTCGGCAGGCAAAATATCAAGGTGAAATGGTATGAGAAAGATGCTAGGAAATTTGAAAAAAGATAGGAAAAAAGATGTGAGGATGGTAATCTGAGAAGGGACTGGTCAGCGGGAACTTCTCTTATTACATTCTTTATCAACATGCAAAGCAAAGGAGAAAGCATGACAAAGGAGGTCAGTTGATCATGATGGTTTCACAGGTATAGTGCAAAAGAGGTCCCGTAGCGAAAACAAACATGATCTGCATGTTTAAAGGCACTTTCCGCGATAAAATAAGGCTATGACCTTTCAAATGTGTCAGACGATCCGGAAGGAGATTGCGGTGGCTGAAGTGAATATCGGCAAGAATCCGCTTTAAGCTAACCAATTAGGCCCATGGGCGCCCCTTAGGCCCATGCCGACCCCCACCGGCTGCTAGCTACTAGCTAGTAGCCACTATGCTATCTCTCTCCATTCCGAATGGTGAGAGCAGATTCCTGCTTTTTCGCGTGTTTTTGTTTAAAGTGTTGTTTGTTTTGTTTCAAGTGTTGTTTTTTAGGCGCTTCTTCGTGATTTCTGTCTTTGTTGTGTTGACAATTTGTTTTAAAGTGTTGTTTTTCAGGCGCTTTTTTCCGGTCCCTTGTGTTTGTTGTTATGTTGCGTGCGCTGTCGTCGTCTACAGGCTCCCTGAAAAGGTAAAGAGTTTTTTTGAACTGGACATGGTTTCTATTTCCATGCAGTAGTTTCTGTTGTGTTGACAATTTGTTTTAAAGTGTTGTTTTTCGGGCGCTTTTTTCTGGTCCCTTGTGTTTGTTGTTATTTGCGTGCACTGAAGGTACCCGGAAAAGGTAAAGAGTTTTTCTTAGCTCGGCATGGTTTCTATTATATTTGGTTTATGTTTATGGTTTATTATGTGGTTTCTACTAAGTAATTTGTTTCAGAAAAATGTTCCCGGAACTATATAAACAAATGGAAGGCGCCCCCAAACAGGCAGAAGATCAGTCATTTGCTACCGGAGTACTGACTGTGTTTCTGGGGCAGTTACTGCTCCTTCTCTTTCTGCTGATCATCGCTTTGATAATTGCCGTAGCAGTGAGTTCCTCCCCTCTCTTTTTTCACATCTATTTCCATCTCATATGTAATAGTACATTCTTTCCAGGTATTCTTCTGTCAGAGGTATACATGCCATAGGGTCGACACCACACCAGAAATCGAAGACAGGCAGCAGCCGCCAACAGACGCCTTCCAAGGCGGCGTTCGCCTTGGAAGGCGTTGAGTGGCGGCTATTTTGAGATTTTGAAGTTTGAAGATTTTTTTAATTTAGAGCCGTGGGCAATGCATTCATATACTTGAATGCATTGTCCACGGCTCTCAATTACGAGTGTTAGTGTGGGAGAGGGGAGGGAGGGAGGGAGGGAGGGTGGGCAAGGTAGGGGAGGTGGGTGGAGTGCAGAAAAGTCCTGCCTTTTCAGGGAAAAAAGCCTACCGACCTCTAGTGGAGCACGCCAGAGTTTCGTACAGATCTCCCAGCAGCTCTCGTGGGGAGGCACAAAAATTCAGGCAACATAGTGGTGTAGAGTTCGAGATAAAGTGAATTATTGCTGCCACATGAGACGGAAACTCCTGAGAGAAAAGCATCAGAAGCATTCTGGGTTTTTACTGGAAAACCCAGAAATGAATAGCCAGATGAGTGCCTTTCATTAACGAGTGACCTCCTGCCGTTCATATCCCACTGCTAAGTGCGTCTTCCAAGTATTCTATCATTGGGAAGAAAGCGATACTTCTCATTTCAAAGTGACTTGTGCTCTTGTGTGGCAGCGGACTCTTCCGCTTAAACCGCGGTACCGAGCTTGATCCATCCGTACTGGCCTCTTCTCGAGGTCCCTGGCACCGTGTCGAGTCTGCAGCGCTGTAGTTCATGAGGCGCTTTCTCCGGCAGGTCGTGAATTTGAAAACTGGCATATTCAGAACTCTGAAGACGACGGCTCAGTTGAACGTCGGGCAACATTCAATGAGCATTCCACCTAACAGACTATTAGGGCACAAAACAGTTGAGAATCATCTTAATCTTGGCATTCTGCGCAAATCGTCGCGCAATCGGCATACCGCTCGACAAATTATCAACAGTAGTTGTATCCTACACCCGTCTCAATGTGAATGTGCAGTCTCGTTAGATCGCTCAACCCCTCCCCATCAAATTTTGCCCCACTTCTACGCTTTCTATTTCGTTGTAGCGTCACGCATTCCCATCATTAGTTCCTTCCTCACTTGTCGCGTGTATCTAGCCTGTTAATGTTTTTCTGGGCTGTGTGGACCAGGATGACTTCATATAAAGCGCCGATGATCGCTAATGCCAACAGGAAGGAAAATCCATGTGTAATTTTATATGCTAATCTGATGTGACCTTACGAACTAATAACTTCAATGAAAACGATTATGGAAATGAAATGCCTCTGTGGAAGTCTGGAAACGCATACACGTGGGAGGTTCACAGAACTCCAAATAGTTGAGTCGCCTCGCATCTTGTTGAAATTGGTCGTACTCTATGCGGGACAAATCCTCAACGAGGGTGTGAAAGGAAATTACCAGTTTCCCTGACTTGCAACTTCATGCAAGGCCCGGGAGAGAGCTGAAGGGCACTATTGCTCTGATGACCAACCAGAGCACTTGCGGGCAGACACTCAAACGAGGAACGTTTAAGTGTCTGCCCGCAAGATCTGAATCCAAAATTCAAAATTTATAGTTGCCGACATTATGTTCCAAATTATCCTTATGAGCACTGAGGAAAGGTATACCTTTTCTCAAGCTAGAGGCACCTACAGGACTCTCTTTTAAGAGTGGAGAAAAAATACACAAGTCTAAAAACATGACAGAACTCACCTACAAACGGCAAGATATTGTGTAGCATACAGTGCAGCCGAGAGCAGCGCCGAAAAAAGCATGAAATACGCGAAGAGACAAAGAGAAAGACGTCCTAATGCAACATTATGCACCAAACCGTTATTTATTATGAGGATCTCGTCGCGATGAATGTGAATCATCTGATTTAACTGATTACCGAAAATAATTCTACAGCACATCTATTCATATCAATTTAAAGGCAGTGCCCGCCATCAGTTGAAACTTCCCTCTGTCTTTGAGAGCCGGTAGACTGTACCTGCGTTGTAGTTACTGCACCATTTTCGCAGCCCAGAA